CCCCCTGCCCATTACCCGTACAGCCCCCCATACGCCCCAGCCCAGCCCACTGTGGTTTTCAACCCAAACAGCCCTCACACCCAAACCCCAACAGCCCTCACTCACCAATTTGACACCTTGACTCTCCGCGAACCCACGTGGTTCATGGACACCGGGGCATCTCACCACATTGCATCTGATCCAGGTACTATTTCTCATGTTAATTCTCAAACTTTAAATTCTCCCACATTTATTACTGTTGGCAATGGTTCTAAAGTTCGCACTACGGCAACTGGCACACACACTTTTTCCACCTCCCCACCTCTCTCCCTCAACAATGTCCTCATATCCCCTCACATTATTCATAACCTTATTTCCGTTAAACAATTCACCCGTGATAACAACTGCACCGTTGAATTTGACTCACATGGTTTTTCTGTGAAGGATCCTCGGACGGGAGTCGTGATCTATCGGTCCAATAATGACGGCCCACTCTATCCTCTGCGCCCCCCAGATCCAGCCGCCCATGTCAACGTTGCCTCCGTTGCTGAAACTTGGCACCGTCGTCTGGGCCACCCCAGCCCTGCAGTCCTTCATGGAGTCCCCAGTCTATCCCATTTATTTAATAAACAATTTATGCACTCTTTATGTCATGCGTGTCAACTAGGCAAACATGTTCGCCTTCCTTTTACTGCGTCTAGTCGTGTTTCCATGTTTCCTTTTCAATTATTACATACAGATTTATGGCAATCTCCTGTTCTTAGTGTTACTGGGTTTAAATGGTATATGCTTCTATTAGATGATTTTTCACATTATCTGTGGGTGTTTCCTTTACGTCATAAGTCTGATGCATTCTCCCATCTCACCAGCTTTATTGCCTATGTGAAAAATCAATTTAACACAACAATTAAAGCAGTACAATGTGACAACGGGACAGAATATCGAAACTCCCCGCTACAAAACATTTTTAATTCACTTGGTATTTTGTTTCGCTTTTCTTGTCCTCATACTAGTCAACAGAATGGACGAGCTGAGCGCACCATCCGTACCATCAATAACACGGTTCGTACCCTCCTTTTCCAAGCCCAACTTCCTCCCTCCTATTGGGTCAAGGCCTTAAATATGGCCTGCTATCTCTTCAACATCCTGCCCACCACCACCCTTAAAAACCGTACCCCGCATGAGGCACTGTTCGGTTCCGCCCAGACTACTCTCACCTTCGTGTCTTCGGATGTCTGTGTTATCCCAACACCACCGCCACTGCACCTCACAAGTTGTCCCCCCGCTCAGCTCGTTGCGTCTTCTTGGGCTACCCTACTAATCAACGCGGCTACCGATGTCTCGACCTTGCCACGCATAAAATAATTATCTCTCGTCATGTCATCTTCGATGAGTCTACCTTCCCTTTCACCCACTCGCCCACACCTGAGGATTTCCACTTTCTTGACTCCATGGAGGACTCCATCCCCTATCACCTAAATCACCACCACCCATCCCTGTCCATTCCCACACACCCACAACCTAGTCCACATACAACCCAACCCGACTGCCCCCTCATCTCTCAACAGAATCCCTCCCAGCCCACTGTCCACCCAAACCCATCTCAATCCCCGGCTCAAAACCCGACCGAAGCCCAACCACTCCCGAACCTCACCCGTACCGAGAACCCTACACCTGAACTCCCTCAAAATACCCATAACATGACCACCCGGTCAAAATTCGGTATCACTCGTCCGAGGCAGATTTTAAACCTCAACACTACATCCCACATTTCCCCCCTCCCCCCAACCTATCGTAGTGAACTCAAGGATCCCAATTGGTATAATGCAATGTGTGATGAATTTAATGCTTTGATAAAGAATAACACATGGGAACTAGTACCACCCTCCCCTAACCAAAACATTATATCTGGAAAATGGCTTTTTCGTCATAAATTTGGCCCTACAGGTGATCTGTCCAGGTACAAAGCTCGTTGGGTTGTCCGAGGGTTCAATCAACGTTTTGGTGTCGACTACGGTGAGACCTTCAGCCCTGTCATCAAGCCCGCCACCATTCGCATTGTCCTCAGCATCGCACTCTCACGTGGCTGGCCCATTCATCAGTTGGATGTGAAAAATGCTTTTCTTCATGGACATTTACAGGAAACAGTGTATGCAAGTCAGCCATCTGGATTTCAGGATCCCTCTCGCCCACACTATGTTTGTCGACTCAAGAAAGCATTATATGGGTTAAAACAAGCCCCCCGGTCTTGGTATTTGCGCTTTGGCGGTTTCCTCAGGATGATTGGATTTCATGGGTGCAAGACCGATAGCTCACTCTTTGTTTATTCTCGTGGCCAGGACAGGGCCTATCTTCTTCTCTATGTTGATGACATTATTCTCACTGCATCTTCCAACAACTTGCTTCAGAGGATTACACAAAGGTTGAAAGGGGAGTTTGCCATGAGTGACATGGGGGAACTTAATTTCTTTCTGGGCATCAATGTTCAGCGTACCACAGGAGGCCTCTTCTTACATCAAACTCAGTTTGCTCATGAAATCCTAGAACGTGCAGGTATGGTCTCTTGTAAGCCTGTCTCAACGCCAGTCGATACAAAGGGGAAGCTGTCTGCAAACACGGGCGACCCAGTAGAGGATCCTTCTCTGTACCGCTCCATTGTTGGAGCCCTACAGTACCTCACATTTACTCGTCCCGATCTTACATATGCTGTGCAGCAGCTCTGTTTACACCTCCATCGCCCACGGACGGGACACCTCACTGCGTTAAAGCGAGTTCTCCGCTATCTCCATGGTACAGTCACTCATGGAATCACACTCTCACGATCACCCACTGACTACCTTCAGGCATATTCAGATGCAGATTGGGCTGGCTGCCCTGACACCAGGCGCTCCACTTCAGGCTATTGTGTTTTCCTTGGTGATAATCTCGTCTCATGGTCCTCAAAGCGATAGGCCACTACCTCACGCTCGAGTGCCGAAGCCGAATACAGAGCAGTCGCTAATGCCGTTGCTGAAACCAGTTGGATCCGGAATCTACTCCTAGAGCTACAGCTACCCCTTCGTCGAGCCACACTCGTTTTCTGTGATAACATCAGTGTTGTCTATCTATCATCTAACCCAGTTCAGCACCAGCGCACAAAGCATGTTGAGGTTGACATCCACTTCGTCAGAGATAAAGTCGCACTGGGCCAAGTTAGAGTTCTTCATGTTCCTTCGTCCTCACAGTTCGCTGACATCTTCACGAAAGGACTTCCAACACTTCTCTTTTCTGATTTCCGGCAAAACCTTGGGATACGACCTTCACCAACGTAGCCGGAAGCATTTAAATATTTACATATTTAATATTGTATATTTATGCTAGTTGTCTTGTATAGGATCTCTACATTAAATACTTACCTTATTCATGTAGCCCTCCATCTATATATATACGGGAGGTGGAACACTTGTAGATCATTGAGATTTAATATTACGTATTTCTTCAGTTCTTGACTTATTCGAATAAGTCGACAGTTTCAACAACCAAACGGCTAGTTTTTTGAATGATTTTCATCCCTATCCACTCCCTACCTTCTATAAACTACCTACTTTCGTGATTATCTTCATAAGAACACTTAGAACACTTTGAAGAACATATCCTTTGAATATCCAAAGAGATTCTACTCAATCCCCTCTTTATATCCAAGCAAGGCAATTGTTTTGATTGCTAAATCAGTTCTTGCTTGAGTTTTTCCTCATTGCTTGAGTCTTTGAGAGATATTGCCATATTCTAAAGGACTTCATTGTATTTGCAACAATCTACTCCGTGTTGGGAGAATTACTCGGTTGCGGTTTGTTTTTCTTACTTTATTGTAAGTGATTTGTATTCTTGGTGTTGGGATTACACCAAGTGGTAGAAATCCTAACGGTTTGTGAAATCAAACGTTAGGTGGAAGAAATCCCGAGTGCTGTGAAATCAAAACTTCGGTGGTAAGATAAGAGGCTTGTGAAATCAAGTTCTCGAGTTGTATTCAGATTGTCAAACTCCGTTAAGTTTGACAGGTTAGTGAAGGCCTGGGCACGATTGCTTCGGGGACTGGATGTAGGAATTTAGGCCGAACCAGTATATATCGTGTGTGCATTGCTCTTATCCTTCACTTTATTTTGTTTGTGGTGCATTGTTTTTTATTGAATATTCGTGAAGAACGTTTTCGCGCAAAAAAAAACTGGTCTTTTGGGCAACACCTCTATTCACCCCCCTCTAGAAGTGTGCGAGGCGTCTAACAAGATATACTCCTTAAAAAATTATAAAGGGCATGTTTGTTTACTTTTAGCCATAAAATAAAGAAGTGGAGTGCAATTAACAAATGTGGAGTGCATTTATCATTTACCGATTGTTTTGGTAACTCTTATACGCATTATATGAGTTGTTGTATCTTTACACTCTTTTCTTCACTGCCTTATTTTCGCTCCTACGCTTCTAACAAATTTACTATCTTTGCAAAATTTTATAATCATTTTTTACAATGCTATTCACCCCATTTAGCATTGGCCATACTTTCTAACATAGTTTAGTTTGGTAGAAACACATTGAGCAACTATCGTACAACCTAAGTGGCAAATTGCTCGAGATACTTGTTTGCTTATTAGCCTGACGTCGAATGCAAGACGCAAGTTACAATCTAAATGAACAACACTTCACGGGAGCTAAAACCCCCGAAAGAAACGGAAATTGAAACGAATATTGCAATTGAAGTATTAAATATTATTAACTTAATTACTTATGTAATGTTGTTTTTTTACATGACTTATGTAATATTGTAGTTAAACTTAAAGTGTAATATGTAAAATGTAACTAGAGTCTTGAGCCATTAATTTTCATATATTGAAATTTTTAATAATTTGATTACTTTATTACTTTAGTTTATAGTCTTTAGTTTTTTGAGTTTTTTTCCAAGAAAATATTTTTTATAATGTTAAATTAGTTTAAATAAAATTAAAAAATGTACCGTATCGGAAATTGGATTGAGAATCGGCTTGAAACTAGTTCCATCCTAGTATTGTCGAGATATTAGCAAGTTTTTATATGTGTTTTTAAACTAATCAAAACTGCTTATAAGTTGTTCTTCACTTATTATTTATGTAATGTCATATTTCTCTATACTTATAAATTAAAAAAAGTAGGTCATACATACTTATTTTTACGCCAATCTTTTCTTAATTTGAATTTGACCAGATTATATATAAAATTATCCATCATCCATTAAAAATATTCCCTAATGATTTACCTCTATTTTAAAACATTTAACTCAGAAAAGAATATTTAATCTAGTTAATAAGCACCCTGAAACATCCCACTCTATTAAGACATCATTCCGTTCAACTTATTTTTTTGCTTATTGCTTATTCTTATTAAAATTAGATTAAATTAGATCAGATCAGACTAGTTTTAAACAAAATTAATGTTATTATTATAATTATAATTATAATTATAATTATAATTACTATTATTATTATTATTATTATTATTATTATTTCTATTATTACCACTATTAATATTAATAACATTATTAGTGTTGCTATTATTATTATTTCCATTATTATTACTACCACTACTATTATTGCTATTGTTGTTATTATTATTATTATTATTATTATTATTATTATTA